GACATTTTAATTGCAAAAACTTTTAAGCTTGCTTTTGAATCGCACTAGTGAGTCTGTTGGCAACCGCAATAATATGTGAATCACAACCTGTTCCGATAGGTATATAAGTTTTTATCATTTCTGCATTACAATAACCTGTCTAATCATTTCTGCATTACAATAAAAAAAAATGTTTAAAATCGTTGCCATATATACCACAAGACCGCAACTAAGCACTTTCATATACTATTATAATCCAATTACTCAAAAGTTTTTATAATTTTGATTTCATGATTTCTATGAGGGGAATATATAAGGATGACAGAATCATGTATGAAAATGAAATCCATCTGAGAGCAGAAACAAACAGAGATGAATAAGAAACCTATGAGGGAAGTTGTCAAATTTATTACAACAGAAACAAATCAAAAGAAAAAAAAAATCAAAATTCTTGGTAAGAAAATTTCCAAAGCATAAACAACAAACCCATGCTAATCCAAATCCATACAGCACCAAATAGAACATCCAAGGAAACCCAATGTTGGCTTGATCCTTAAATTTGAATCCAAAGCTTTCATTCAACAACCGTAAAATAAAAAGAATAACAGAATAAATGAAATTATTTTTATAAGGTAATCCATATAGTTGTATAAAATCCATATATTAGCTTAAATGTTGACCAAATTCTTCATAAAGCTGAACAAAATAAATGAGATTATTCATAAAATCTTTAAAAGGAAAATAAACATGCTCGTTTAACGCCCATGAAAAATTTCTCTATTGATTGATGCTAGAGTACCCTTGTAAAGCATAATAGAGTGATTATTCACAAAATCTTCACTGTCAATTGGCAATAGAGTCTTCATTTGGTTGGTAACAATATTGTAAGATGCAATCAGCCCACTTGATAACAATACAAAGAGTTCATTACTCTTCCCAAATCCCAAAGCCCTGTCCACTTCAAGTACAGCTTTGGTAGAAAACAGCTTTGTCCAAACCTCATTGGCACCATATTCACCCATCACCCAAATGTCAAAGCGTTTCTCCATCTCTTGTTCCGGGTGAGGATATGAAATGAAAGCTAGTGTCTCATTAAACTCAATCAAATCATAAAACCAAGGTAAGTGTTCTGGAATTTTTCTAAATTCAAAGACCTCATCACTAAAGTGCGTTTTGTGGCAGGCCAATAATAAGCTGTGTACTCAATTTCTCTCCAAATATTGGTGCTTGAGCAATATACATCAGCCTGTACTTCACCAGGAGAAAGATAAGGACTCTCCATCTCCAAGATCCTAATAACCTTGCAATCATTAGTTCTGCAATCAAAGCCCAATCCCACAACATGTGTCTTACGTGGGCGGAGATAATGATCATATTCATTGCTATTAGGGAGAGGAAAACATGATACAGGAAGAAACCTAAATTCCCTAATTCCTGGATTAGCCATGATCATAATACCATCTCTATCTTGATAATCTTAAAAACATATAATACCATCACAAATATTTGAGAAATCACTCCATCCATTATAAGGACTACTAAATGGCAAGTCCAAACTTTTCATAGGAAAAGAAACATCCTCTCCATTAGAAGTTGCTTGCATTTTATCATCAAATGTAAGTAGCGACCATAATATTCTTATGGTGTCACTGCCACCCGTATCAATAAAGATCCGATTACCGACAAGAAAATGGATGCTAGCTATTGTTTTTACGGAGTTGCATTGTGACAAAGTGAGGGCTTTCTATGAGAGCATACCACGATTTATGCACACTTTTGAATCGCACTAGTGAGTTTGCTAGCAATTGGGCTAATATATCAATAACAACGTCTTCAGGTAGCTTCCTTTCAAGCATTTTCTGAATTATGAAAAAGAAAAATGAAGTAAATGTATATAATAAACAATATGGAGAGGAAACTTGTTGAAATTTGGACAATGATACATTCACCTCATCCGTTACACACTCTGTTACACCCCTCACTTCGTTAGCATCT